GTGAGTGCTCATTATAATTTGAATTTTATTCTATTTCAATGTGGTTAAAACATTTACCAATAAAAAATAACTGGAAGAATAATGTGTATTTATTTGCCCAGTTGAAAGAGTATTAATGCCTTAATTGGGTGGTGATTCAGGTTAATGGTGGAATAAATCTTTGCAGACCAAAGTTCATGGATGACCACTGTAAACATTAACCATTCATCTAAAATGAATATACTCTGTAGAGAGGGCAAAAACCCCCCACAAATTTAAAAAATATTTTAGTTTCCTCTTTAATAAAAGTAACTTGCAAATCTATAAAAATAGCACCCTCATGTTCCTTATAGGTAATCTTTATATTAATATGTGGCCTGATTGCCTAAGTCAGGCAACAGAATTAGAACTGTTTCGCTCACATATGATGGATTACCTATATACCACAAGGTATAGGGAGGCCTTATCAATATCTAGAAGTATTTGCTAGTTTCTTTCAGATTAAAACCCAGGGACTGATACTACTATTATGTCCAGAGCACTTAAATCAATCTATTAGGCAATTCACTAAAATGCAAAACAACAACTAGCCCAGCCGGTATGGTTCAATGGTTGAGTGTTGACCTAAGAACCAGGAGGTCAGGGTTTAATTCCCAGTCAGGGCAAATGCCCAGGTTGCAGGCTCGATCTCCAGTAGGGAGCATGCAAGAGGCAGCTGATCGATGTGTCTATCATTGATGTTTCTATCTCTCTCCCTCTCCCTTCCTCTCTCTAAAATTCAGTAAAAACGTTAAAAAACAACATTTATATCTATAACTATACATACATATATATGAATACCTTAGTAATAAATTATCACTATTTCAATTACTTATAAAACTGATTAGAAAAAAGATACCACTAAAAACGTATCTAAGGTGTATATAAAAATGAAAATGTCCAGTTTACAATATAAATAACTCCAAATACTTTAATGGGAATAAGCAGTGGGACAGAAGAAAACTCAATTATGATGAAGTAAAATATGAATAAGGATCTAGATTGCATCAGGCAAGTTTATGAAAGGCAGATTCATAGTTGTGACTCTCAATAGTTTGACCTTCTTTACAGTTCAGATACTTAATGGTGCATCTTTATAAATTTACTTTTTCTATATAGATTTAAAAGTATCAAAACACAAATGAATTATTTTCATCTTCTAAGTAGACCAAGCAGTCTAAAGTTAAATGGAAATGTCCCTAAACTATGTAAATCCATCTTGGTCTAAAAGTATATTAAAAATTTTTGATCTTATAGGTACAGTTTTAGTTTTTTACTTTGGCTGTGTTCTTTAATTATGGTACTTCAAAACTGTGCATAAATATTCAGAATGTCTCCTCTGGAAAAAAAATGTCATTAAAAACACAAAATTATCTAGGCTGCTAAATTAGAAATGAAGTGACTTCTAAAATCTTCTTTGGAAAAACTTAGGAGAATAGTTTTAGAATTGAGCTAAAAAATTTAAGTCCTCTAAGTAAACTCTCAGGTAATTAAACACGAACCATAATTTACTGCTATCACCCAATACTTTTACAGAAGAACAAAAGCGTATGTTCAGATCTATTTATCTTGGCATATAACATTGTTTTAAGGGAAAACATTTTATATAGAGCTTCTTAGTAAATATTATTCTAAAAATACAGCCAATGGCTGATTTATAGTAATTCTAGTTTTGCTAGGTTTTCTGCCCTCTTCATTTTACTTTCTGCTAAACTGGTCACTCTGAACCCCTTGAAACCTTCACCAGAAATTGAGATGATATAGCAGAAACTGAAATCAACAGATTATTTTATAAATAGTTCATTCATCCACAAATATACAGGGCAGGGCAAAGTAGGTTTACAGTTGTTCATATGGGAAATAATTCAATAATGAATATGTAATACAAGAATAAATTGTTTCCTGGACTCATAACTATAAACCTACTTTTGCCCCACCCTGTATATGCTGTATCTACTATATATCAGGCAATGTTTCAGATATTGAGGACAGAGAAATAAATAGACTAAAGTAGTTTCTATCCTCATAGGGCTAAAGAAGACTGAAAAGTCAGAAAATAACAAGCAAAATAATGTCAGGTTTGGATGAATGCTATGAAAAATGAAAAGAAAATGGTGGGCTAAAGGGAGCCTGGGAGAGTACTTTAAATGGGAGGCCAGAAGGCTTCTCTGAGATGGTGACATGTGAGCAAAACCTAAATGACAAGGAGATATGAAATAACTTGACTCAAGGGACAGAAAAGAATGAAGGTTAGAGTGGTTGGTGCTTAGAGAATGGGGAGGAGGAAGAGGTACATGGTCCTGAAGTCAGAGAGAGATGCTGAGACAAGAACAGGTAAGGCTTATGGGCTACAACAAGGAGCTTGAATTTATATCAAGTGCAAAGGGAAGCCATTAGTATGTTTTAAGCTGGGTGATTTACATTTTACAAGAATAACTTGGCAGTGAGGTGGAGAACGGATTACAGCAGTGGTTCTCAACCTTGGCTGCACATTAGGATCACCTGGGAATCTTTTTAAAATCCTGATTTCTGGACCTCATCATTAGTAACAAAAAGAATTTCCGGAGGATGAGGCCCAGAAATCAGGATTTTAAAAAGATTCCCAGGTGATCCTAATGTGCAGCCAAGGTTGAGAACCACTGGACTACAGGGTGACCAGAGTGGAAGAGGGGCATCAGGTGAGAGGCTACTGCTAAAGACAAGGCTAGGTGAGTGAAATGGCTCAATATCTTAGGAGGTAAAGGGAAATTAGGTTGATAGATTAGATCTGGAGGATAAGGAGGGGGAGGAATTAAGGATGTCTCCTAAATGTTTGGGTTGAGCACCTGGGTAAATGCTGCCATTTACTGAGATGTGGAAGGCCTTGGAATGAATGGGTAGACTAGAAATTGAGAGCTCAGTTTAAGAAATGTTAAGCAATACTAACAAAAAGTTTCATAGTATTCAAAATCAAAGTGAACTACAAAAAGGGAGCTCAAATCCTTTTATATATTTTATTGATTTCAGAGAGGAAAGGAGAGGGAGAGAGAGATAGAAACATCAATGATGAGAGAAAATCACTGATCGGCTTGCCTCCTGTACGCCCCCCACTGGGGATCAAGCCCACAACCCAGGCATGTGCCCTTGACCAGAATTGAACCTGGGGCTCTTTAGCCTGCAGGCCCATGCTCTATCCACTGAGCCAAACTGGCTAGGGCCAAATCATATTTTTTAAAGCACTATTTTGACTTAGATTATTAGAGAAAATGGCTCCACAATAACTTTAAAATTATTTACAGATGAAGAGAAAAGAAATCTCTCATAATATCTTCAGCAAACCTTTTCCACTAAAAATGTTTCCTAAACTGGTATGGCCTTCCTGTAGCTAACAGAGCACTACAGTACATAAATATATGTGTCATAAAAAACAGGCACACAGGAAAATGTAGCTCTTTTAATAAAACTTAATTTCAGTTATGTAATTGATGCACTTCATGAAAAGATAAGCTTCTAAAATTTGTAACCCCAAGCATGACATTTAAAGAGAAGTATGAGAAATAGTTAAGCTGCATAAAATAATTCTGTGAGCGCAAAGTCTAACTTGCTCCTGGGTTCTAGATTTCCCACCAGGTTGATTTATCTTTCCAAGAACTTTCCTACCACAGTGGATCACATGACCAACGACAACTACTACTAACCCACTTTTCCAGTTGTAATTTTTTCACTTCTAACAAGTAATCACAAGCCAACACTTGAACAATGCCATGCACATAAAAGAGCACAGGGGGTGACATACCCAAGGTCACAGAGCGAGTTCTGTTACCGCCGTGATATCTAACGGCACCCAGAAAGCAGGGGAGTCAACATCTGGCAGATTCTTCCCATCATTCTTTCCTTCACTAACGTGTGTGTTTCAAAGAAAAGTAATGGGGCAGCTATGCATGCAACAGTCCAAGACGCTTATACACTCCCCAGAATTAACACTGCAGCAGTTCATTGAACTTGTCGTGTTTCACTTTCCGTTTCACAGAAATCCCGTGGTGGCCTGAGCGGGGTGAGGAAGGGCAGGTCGGCCTTGGCGAGCACCCAGGGGTTAAAGCTCAGGAGTGATCGGCAGCGGAGCCCGTGCAGCGGAGCGGAGAAACCCGGGCGGCCGGGGGCACCCCAGCGTCCTCGGGACCGAGCCACGGGCCGGCGCCCGGGACCCCTGCAGGACCTCGCCACACCCTCTCCGCAAAGGGGCAGAATCCGCCTGGAATGGCTGAGCCGGGAGCCCCCCTTCTCCAACCCCGCTCCTCTCCGCCGCCGAGTCCCAGGGGCTGTTACTTAACTGACCGCTCCTCGGGCGAGTCCTCGCCCAGCCCGGCCCGGCGCCAAAAGGCCGAGGTCCTGGGTCAGGCGTCCGCTCGGCCGGAGACGCCCCAGCCAGCCGGGCCCGCGCCCGCCGCGCCGACCCGAGCCCCGAGCCCCGAGCCCCGAGCCCCGAGCCCCGAGCCCCGAGCCCCGAGCCCCGGGCGCAGGGAGAGCCCGCGAGCCGGCAGCGCCGGCCGGGCCCGCCTCAGCCCCTCGCCGCGCCCCCCCACCACGCACCGCCAGGCCCCGCCTCCTGCCGTCCATCCCTCCATCCCTCCTCCATCCACCTCCTTCCCCAGGCGCCGCCAGCTTCACCTGCCCGCGCCGCCGCCCGCACCTTCCCTCGGGGCGGCCCGGCGCACGCCCCCAGACCGGCCGCCCCCGACCCCACCGCCCCGCGCTCGCCCCCCGGCGCCTCTCCTCTCCCTCACCTGCCCCCGCCCCCGCCTTACCTTGTAGGAGTCGGTGGCCAGGAGGATGTTGAACTCGGCTTCTGCCGCAGCATTCATCTCGGCCGGAGTGGCGACCGCGTACCGGGGGGGCTGCCCAGCGCCGCAGCGAGGAGGGAGGAAAAATGGGCTTCACCGCGCTCTGTTGCTTAAGTCACCGCTCGGCCGGAGGGGGAGGTGAGGGGAAACGGAGCGCGGGGGCGGGGCCTCAGGAGGGCGGGCCGGCGGCCCTGACGCGGCGGGGGTGGCGGCGGCTCGCGCGCACGCAGCCGGGAGTCGGACGGCCTCACCTCGGCCCTCGCCCCGCCCACCGCCCAGGGGTGGAGGCGGGCGCCAGGGCGGGGCGGGGCGCGCGTGCGCAGTGCGCGGGGGCGAGGCCGGCGGGGAGGACGTGAGGCACGCGCTCCTTTCGGGGAACGCCCACCCCGGGCGGCCGGAGGCCGTGGGCCGCCCGGGCCCGTGACCCGGGGTTTCGTTTCCCGGGTAGCCTCGCTGCTCCTGCAGTCCCGGTGCGCCAGCCTCGCGGACCCCTTCCTGCCGTGCCCAGTCCTGGCCCGTGTTCTGAGTCCTGCAGTCGCGCCACTGCCTGTCGCTCCGTCCCGCGGTTACTCCCGTTGTGTTGTCCCCGGCGTGGCGGGAGGACCGAGCCTGTGGCCGCCATCCCCCTGGTCTCCTGACCCCGAAGCCTCGTTCTGGCAGCTGCAGGCCTCCGGCGAGGAACGGGGCTGAGGGCCCTCCGATCGGACACGTGGGCCCCGCCTTCCTCCGGCTCTACGGTGGAGCTCTTTGATCCCTGGAGGGATGTTTTAATTTTCCCGGAAAAAATCGCCTGCACCGAAAGGCAGGGGATGAATTCCGTCCTCACAGAAAATGAGGAGACAAGACCTGATTGAAACAAACGTTGCCTAGAGGTAAAGGGCAACGGCCGAGCCTTGGACGGTGCGAAACTGACTGATCCTGGTTACGATCGTTAACTCTTGGGAAACCTCCACATGAAGACGCAAGTGACCAGTCGGATGACTTCAGATGCAACCGTCCATTTGCTCGTATGGGGTTGCATTTTTGCGTAAAACTACGATTCCCTTTGTCAACGCAGTCAATTCCTGTTTTGTTTTGTTTTTAATTTTAAGGTTTAGGTTTTACAAGACACAGGTAGCTGGGAAGAAGGTGGTTTAATGGAAACGGATACAGGGACTTTATAGACTGTCCTTCAAGTTGGTGGAAGTCTTATTTTATGGGTGAAGAGAGGAGTGTGACTTGAGAGAGATTCATCACAAGAAAACGTAGACCTCTTCAGTCAGAAGTGACGGTGGTCCAGCTGTGTTCTGGAGTCCCTGCAGATTCTTGACATTTGCCTCCATCTATAGGTAGATTCCATAGTCAAAATTCACAGAAGGGGCGGGATGTCGCTAGACACTCACTAAAGTAGTAAATAATACCGATACACTTAGAATTATTTTCAGCAACAAGGTTTAAAATAAAACAAAGAAGCAGTTGTTTTTTTGTTTTTGTTGACCCGGTATTTACTGGGGAAAAGTACTTTTAAGAGCATGCAAATAAATTACTTAAATATTTTTACTTTGGGAGATTTTGTTAATTTAGTTCAAGCAGTGCAGTTCAGAGAAGGAAAATGACCCTTTTTGTCCCTTTCAGTTTGGTGCTTTTTTTCTTTATTCATTTAAAATTTTCATAGCCTACTTAAGTGACAAATTATTTTTGCTTAGCTTCTTGGAATCCATGTTCGTATAACACCATTTTTCTATGCTGCCTTATACAAGGGGGAAAGGATTCTAATTACAAAGTGGGCTTTGTTTATGGTACCGTTTTTGTTTTTAAAAAGCAAAATAAACTTCGATCTTGCAGTATTTGAATTGAATTGGAAGTTTTAAGGTGAGAAAGTTTAATATCAGTACAGGTAAAAATGTTATTACACTGACATGTTAAATGTAGGGACAGTCATAGACCTGTTCACATATTAGTGACTTAAACCCTTACAGCAATCTCCAGAGGAAAATGCAGTCATGTTACCAATAGAAATCACCATTTGTCTATGATAGAATTAGGCACACTCTATATCAGCGGTTCTCAACCTGTGGGTCGCGACCCCTTTGGCGGTCAAACGACCCTTTCACAGGGGTCGCCTAAGACTATCCTGCATATCAAATATTTACATTACCATTCTTATCAGTAGCAACATTACAGTTATGAAGTAGCAACGAAAATAATTTTATGGTTGGGTCACAACATGAGGAACTATATTTAAAGGGCCAGAAGGTTGAGAACCACTGCTCTATATGAAACTACGTGTGTAAGCAGGACCAATTTTGAATTAATCAGGGTTTAGAACTAGAACTATGAAATCATCACCATATACAAAGTCACGATTTCATTTTGAAATGGCCTTCCTTGAAAGACAGTTTAACCCGGACAGTGTGGCTCATTGGATAAGCTTTGATCTATGAACTAGGAGGTCACAGTTTGATTCCTGGTTGGGGGCTCAATCCTGGGGGCGTGGGGGGAGGTGCAGGAGGCAGCTGATTGATGTTTTCTCTCATGGATGTTTCTCTCTCCCCCCCTCTTCCTCTCTCTGAAATCAATTAAAACATTTTAAAAAGAATAACAGCTAGCATACCTAGTAGCATGTAGGAAAGTCTGAGAAACTGTTTCTCATAGGTCCTTACAACATGACAAAACCCGACAAGTACAAAGACTCAAATGGACCCGCCCCTTTATTCAAAGCCCTGGATTAATCTAAGCTGGGTGGATTGGGCATCCAGCTCCGCGTTTACATCCCACAGAGGGCCTGGACACCGTCCATTTGATCAAGCCAAGTGGGTGTTGCTACACCATTCCTGTTCCTACATACCCTTCCAGACAGCCTTTGGTACACTTTTGTATTTCTAAGTTGCCTCAGAATTCCAACCTGACCTGATTTCATCTCAGTAAAAAAACACTGGAGAAATAGATGTGGGGCTCACCCACATGACGCTGCAAGTCATGACGCTGTTCCTATCTATCACCCTGCTGTTCCTATCCATCAACCTTCAAAACTCCCTCTAGCCTTACCAAGCAGCAACAATGACCACAAAGACAGACAATAACAAAGGAACTTTTTAATTGGTTAGACCTTTTCCTTATTCAAACCTCTGTTAGAGTTCTAATTTGCTAAAGAAAAGGCCTCATCTACAGAAAGGGTTTTCATAGATCCGATTATCTGCTAACCATCTCTGAAGCACTCTTTAATAACTCAGGCTGCTGGGTCCTCTACAATCACAGAGACACACAGAAAACTGATGACTCTTACCCTAAAAGTATGGAAGTGTCAGAGTAACTGGGAAAGAAAGTGGTTTAATGGAAACGGATACAGTAATCCACATAGGGGAAGAATTACTGCACCTACATGGGTCTTCTACAGGCATTATGTTGCAAAATGTTCCTGTTTTCAACTGAATTTTTTTTTTTTTATTGCTTAAAGTATTACAAAGAGTATTACATATGTCTCCTTTTCCCCCCCGCCCTTGACAATCCCCTGGCCTCCCCTACCCCCCAGTGTCTTATGTCCATTGGTTATGCTTATATGCATGCATACAAGTCCTTTGGTTGATCTCTTACCCACCCCCCTCCTGCCCTCCTACCCTCCCCGGCCTTCCTGCTGTAGTTTGACAGTCTGTTCGAGGCAGCTCTGCCTCTGTATCTATTTTTGTTCATAAGTTTATAATGGTCTTTATTATCCAGAAATGAGTGAGATCATGTGGTATTTTTCCTTCATTCACTGGCTTATTTCACTTAGCATAATTCTCTCCAGTTCCATCCATGCTGTTGTAAATGGTAAGAGTTCCTTCTTTTTTACAGCAGCATAGTATTCCATCGTGTAGATGTACCACTGTTTTCTAATCCTTTCATCTACAGATGGGCACTTAGGCTGTTTCCAGATCTTAGCTATGGTGAATTGTGCTGCTATGAACATAGGGGTGCATATATCCTTTCTGATTGGTGTTTCTGGTTTCTTGGGATATATTTCTAGAAGTGGGATCACAGGGTCAAATGGGAGTTCCATTTGTAGTTTTTTGAGGAAACTCCATACTGTCTTCCATAGTGGCTGCACCCGTCTGCATTCCCACCAGCAGTGCAGGAGGGTTGCTTTTTCTCCACATCCTCTCCAGCACTTGTCGTTTGTTGATTTGTTGATGATAGCCAGTCTGACAGGTGTGAGATGGTACCTCATTGTTGTTTTGATTTGCATCTCTGGGATGATTAGTGACTTTGAGCATGTTTCATATGTCTCTTGGCTTTCTGAATGTCCTCTTTTGAAAGGTGTCTATTTAGATCCTTTACCCATTTTTTGATTGGATTGTTTATCTTCCTTTTATTAAGTTGTATGAGTTCCCTATAAATTTTGGAGATTAGGCCCTTATCAGATATGACGTTGGCAAATATGTTTTCCCACCCAGTGGGTTTTCTTTTTGTTTTGTTGATGGTTTCTTTTGCTATGCAGAAGCTTTTTATTTTGATGTAGTCCCATTTGTTTATTTTCTCTTTAGTTTCCAATGCCCTAGGAGCTATATCGGTGAAGAAATTGCTTCGGCATATGTCTGAGATTTTGTTGCCTTTGGATTCTTCTAGTATTTGTATGGTTTCCCGTCGTATATTTAAGTCCTTTATCCATTTTGAGTTTATTTTTGTGTTCAACTGAATATTAATATCAACCAGGTGTTTCATCACCAAAAAGGATTTATTTGGGAAAAAGAAAAGGATTGCAACCCAGTACAAGCAGACATAGCAAGCTACATGCACATTCTGGCCTATGTGCGAAGATAGAGGAGTATTTATATAAGGGGGGGAAAGGAAGTTAAGGAAAGGGGAGTTACAACCATAGAACTCTTCCTGTAGAGTTCTCCCAATTACATTAGAGTGCATAAGCCCTGGCTAGCAAAGTTCCAGTTCTAGAACCTTCTTGAAATCTCATATTCTGCAGGACGTCTTCCTAATCTATGTATGCTGCATGGCAAGTCTCAATCTTCCCACCTTTATTGTGTTTTTGGTTTCCATTATATCCAAACAAATTTTTCTTATCCCAACCAAATAAAATGGGAAATAAAGGTAGAAAGCAAAAAGAAAAAGGTTTGAATTTATCTTTAAAAGTAAAGTAAATGTGGACTTGCATGTTATGATGCTATATGTGGAGATTTGGGAGTTATAATTACTTATACATTTTGCTAATGGCCACTTTATTTAAGACTCAATGGCCAAAATTAATGATTGAGAGAATGAGAGTTTAGAAGTAAAAAAGGTGGTCAAGATCTTTTAATGAAGTGTTTTCCTAAGTGAGGCTTGCTTATCTGAGATGTGCTCAAATTAACATTTTTAACATTAGTAATTATTTTAATGAGTTCTAGAAAAATATAACCAGCACATAAGACTCAATTTTTCCTGGGAATTGGTATTTAGGATGAAGCCAAAGTACGTGGGCACTCAGACTGGTGAGCCTTACTACTTTCCTTGCCTTTTTTAACCTGTAAGTTGTTTTCATAGCCTCCACAGAAGATTAGTTTTCTTGAAGAAGTTAAACATGAAAGGCTACATACTGTATGATTTCATTTTTAAAATTGTAGAAGTTCTACAATGAAAGAAGATCAATGATCGTTAGAGGCTGGGATTAAGGCAAGCAGGAGTGCTTAATAAATATTTATTGAATGAATGAAGGAGCAACTTCTATCACCAACAAAAGCAGGATGGATCTTGTGATAGACTGCATTGTTTGCCCATATTCAAAGCCCCTCTCTATTGTATTGCTCACCCATATTCCTCATTCCTCTCCTATGTGCCCGTGCTATTGAACTCAGGCATGATCACGGGAGTTGCCTTAGCCATGAAATGTGAACTGATGTGATGTGTTGTGCATCACTTCCCAGCAGAAGCTGTAAGCACTGATGCATGATTTGCCATTCTCTCTTTTCTTTCTGTCACAAAGATGGCAGTATTCCAGTGAGGGCCTGATCCACATGCCTAAATCCTGAAATGTGGACCCAATCAGAGCCAACTTGCCCTGGCCATGTAGTATATGAAATAAACCTTTCTTGTAAGCCATGAAGATTTTGGAGGCTGTTACCATAGCATGACCAGGTTTACCCTGACATATGTAGATACCCACGCATGTTTTCTTTTTTTCTTCAGGCTCAAGGAAAGAGCCTGGTAAATCTCTCTCACCTGTACTCTGGATCCATCCCATATCCCCACCTCTCTCCTTAGGGCCTGTTCATTAGTCATCACACCTTCTCTCTTCTGAACCTTCAGACACCCCCTTTCTCTTGACTTCTCCTTGGCATATAAACATATTTGAACCTCTCTCATTTGAAAGAAAAAATAAAACAAAACAAAAACCTCCGTTTCCCAGTTATCACAGCATCTCTTTCCTTTTCCAAAAAAGAGGTCTCTGACTCCCGTCTCTACTACTTTTTCCCTCATTTTACCAGCTTTTGTCTGTGGCCATATACGCTGGCAGACCCAATGGGTATAGTTCTCAGATATTGGCTAATAACACCAATAAAAGAAAAAGAAGTTTCTTTTCTCCATTTAACCATTATTCCTCTTGTTTTTCTCTCTGACAACAGGGTGAGAGAACATTTTCCTCCAGAAGAAGTCTAACCACAGTCCATCTGCCATGGAACTTGGCTGTAGGTCCCAGAAGAAACCACCTGTTTATCTTGGCCTGGACTACATATCTCTTTCTTTCCTAGTGGTGAGTTTTCTGTTCTCCTAAAATACCTGGTAATGAGAGGCAAGGGGACATTTTGGATCCCATCTTTGTCCAGGGTGTTAGTTATACCATCAATCCCAAAAAGCTTTCCCCCATTTTTCATATGAGGCTGAGGGGCTCCTCATGCAGAGAGGGATCCTTGTGGTCTACTCTGAAATTAGAATTCTTGAGTTGTGCATGTGCACTGCATGCCCCATAGATACTGGTTCAGAAAGAATTTCATCAAGTGGCTCGAAGGTGATCGAACTGTAGAGGACTGAGAAACACTAACTAAACTGACAAGCAATACATTGGTCTCTTCGATGGAAAATTAAAGTAATTGCAATGTGAAATAAACCTGACTTGACAATGGGATCCTGTTACCTGTACAGCAGGTTCTCTCTGAAAACCAGTTTGCATGTTAATAATTTGTTTGCTGGATACAGAATAAGACATTGATTGTTAGAGCCTCTTAAAAAATACTTCCATTAAGCCATCTAAGTCTTAAAAATTCACTTTTTAAAAATTCTGGGGACATTTCTGTCAAGGTTAGGGTTGTTTGTCTTCTAGAATCAATGCACCCTCTTCTTGGATAGTATTAGAAAACAGTGACGAATTCCATAAGCACCATTTCAATGTGCCAGGCAAGTTACAGTGCCATTTCATTTTACATTAGTGACATTTGAGCCATGTTCTTGATGTGGGGATTGGTCATCTTCCAAGTTTTCCAACAGTACATTTGTAAGCTGTTTCTTCAGCTTTTGGTGTTATAATTTCATTGCTTTCTGTTTTCACTTTCAGAAGATGATCTTTTCCTTACAGAATACCCATATTCTGGATATTCTAGTGTAGTTCTTCATGTGCCAAGAATATTCAGGTTTTAAGAATGACTTTAAAGCTGTTGCCAGAACCATCATATTTACTAAGAATTCACAAGTTTCTTTACAATGAAATTATTCAAACTAATTATTCATGTGTGTGAGTATACTGAAATGTAATGAGTTATGTTGGCCCTGAATTCTAATTAGTATATAAATATGTTTTAAAAATCAAAGAGGAAATAAATTTATACAGATCATACTTATTCGTTCCAATTATTTTTACACATTTGGAAGTGTGTATTATTTTTGATCTTGTAACAAAGTCTGTGAAAAAGTGATGTAAAAGTGAAGAGCTGGGAAATTATGCAATAAATTTGATCATATAACTTGATCATTTGTGCATGACTTGTTATTTTTTATTTTTTTATTTTTAATATATTTTATTGATTTTTTACTGAGAGGAAGGGAGAGGGATAGAGAGTTAGAAACATCAATGAGAGAGAAAAATCAATCAGCTGCCTCCTGCACACCTCCCACTGGGGATGTGCCCGCAACTAAGGTACACACCCTTGACCAGAATCGAACCTGGGAGCCTTCAGTCTGCAGGCCGACGCTCCATCCACTGAACCAAACCAGCCAGGGCTTGTTATTTTTTAAATTAAACAAGCATGAACACATAAGTTTACCTTAAATACTTATAGAATTTAGGAGCATATAAAAGTTGATTTGCATGTTCTAGCTTGCTATGAATTTAAGTGTTGGGGGGCACAAGAGACTTGGTTGGAAAGTTGTAAGGAGGACATTCTGATAAAGGGGAAGTGTGTGGAAGGCCACCTGCCCTGTTTATTAGAATTCTGACTTCGGGGAGACTTAAGGGAGTGTCGAAGGCGGAGCCCCTAATTATTCCTTGACCTTTCCAAACAAGCCTGTGCACATGCAGACCCTGGGGTGTTTACTGGAATCCTCATGCTTAATCCTTGGATGCCCCTGTCTAGAGGATAATGTAAACATGTGTCCTCCCAGGATTATGTACCCTACTGATTGTATCTAAAGATAAAAATTCCAATAAAGGCCTAACAAGGCAGGCAATCAAGGTGGCCTGGCTTCTTCAGCTGGGCAAACCCCTTAGCCCTCTCCCCGACAGTGAAACTGTGTCTGAGAAACCTGTTCATCCGTCATTCAGGGGTTGCTGGTCAGCCCTGGCATTTAAGTTTTTTAAACATGAATGGGTGTTGACTTTTCTAAAATTCTATTTTGGCTATCTATTGAAATAATCGCATGGCTTATATCCTTTAATCTTTCAGTGCAAAAATACTACATGGAATCATTTCCTAATATCGAATGCACCATGTTTATCTGAAATAAACCCCGCTTCCTCATGCACGGGTATGATCCCTAGGCCTGGCTGGTGATCAGGGCCGATCGGGGCCTTCCTTCCCCAGCTGCCGGGAGCTGGCCGGGTCCTTCCTTCATTCCGCACTGTCCCCTGGTGGTCAGTGCACGTCATAGCAAGTGGTTGAACTCCAGGTTGGTCGAACTCCCAAGGGGACAATTTGCATATTAGCCGTTTATTATATAGGATATATTGTTATGTTCAATTTGTTAATATTATACTTAGAACTTTCACAGGTTCAGGAGTGACATTAGCTTAGAGTTTTATTTTCTTTATCTTAAGCTATATCCTTGTCTGGTTTTATATTATAATAGTCTCAAAGAATGAGTTGAGAAGCTTTGTATCTTTTCTTATCTTCTGGGAAGGTTTATACACCATAACAGTTCCTTGTTAGGATTCTTCTGTGAAAGAACTTTCCATGCTGCTTTCTTTTATTTGTTTTTTTTTTTTTTCTGTTTAAACAATTTTTTTTATTGATTTCAGAGAGGAAGATGAGAGAAACATCAATGATGAGAGGGAATCACTGATTGGGGAATCAAATCTGCAACATCTTTTTGGTGCATGGGGCCACTCTCCAACCAACTGAGCCACCCAGTTGGGCTCACTCCTGATTCTATTTTTTCTTTATTGATTAAGGTATTACATATGTGTCCTTACCCGCCCCTTGCTCCCCCCCACCTCCCGCTCATGCCCTTACCCCCCTGGTGTCTGTGTCCATCACTCCTGATTCTTAATGGCCAAACATGGGTGTGGGACCAAACTGTTTCATGTCTTCGACCCTCCTATTAGTCTCCATGTGGCTTATTCTTTACTTCCTTAGTTATAGGAGTTCTGTTTAGCTGGTCTTCAGGTGGTTCTCTGGGATTGTTTTATGATTAGTAGTAAGTTTGGTGTGGTTGTGGAAGGAGGCAAGCAGGGCATTTACGTACTCTGCCTGTCGACTATAAGACACCCTGCACTTAAAAAAAAAACATGCTGTCTCTCTGTTTCTGTGGGTCAGGAATTCAGGACAGACTTAGCCATGTACACTTTGGCTCAGTGTTTGTGTTGTAGTCAGATAGATGCTGGAGCTGAATCAGGAGGGTCCTGGTACAATTGAGGACCAACTGGGCATTTCTCTTTTTTCTTATAGTCCCAGGGCCTTTTCACCCAAAATGTGCTCGTTTGGACTACTCACAACATGCCAAGCTTAAGGTAGCCAGATACCTATATAGTGGCTGAAGGCTTCTAGGGCAAATATTTTCGTGAGCAAGGTGGAAAGCTACATTGTCTTTTATGACCTAGCCTTAGAAGTTACACACCATCACTTCCGTCATCCTCCCTTTGGGAGGGATCATTAGCCTTCTGGCATGTGTTATTTACTTATTGCTGTGTAATAACATTCCTGCTGAACTTTTTACTCTGCTTTCTTCTTTGGGACACGTCTTGGTTTCTGCTTAGCTATGTTCCCAGTCGGTAAACTCTAAGACCCTTGAGTAAATATTTATTGATTATATTTAGCATAGCCTACAGACATTTTGTAGTTCATTTGATATATATGATTTGATTTTTTTTAAAAAAATAGAGGGTTTTTTTTGTAAATTGCTAGAGGAATTTAATCCATTCATACAATCAGGTCAGATCATATCCTGACATTTTCCTTTATGTTTCCTATCTACTATACTTTCTTGCTGATTTTTTTCTCTTCTCTCTAAGATCAAAAGAAAATTCTAAAAGTTCCCAGAGTAAAAAGAAAGATTACTTACAAAAAAATAAGAAGCAGAATGTCAATGGATTTTTGTATCATCAATACAGGGTACTGGAAGACAACAGAACAGTCTCTGATTCTGAGAGGAAATTATTTTACACTAGAGACCCGGTGCACAAATTTGTGCATGGCGGGTGGGGAGGGAAGGGACGGTGGGAGATTGGCTGCCATCTGGGGGGAGGGACCAGCCAGGGGGAAGGACCAGGGGAGGTTGGCCGGCCATGGGAGGTTGGCTGTGGGAGTGCACTGACCACCAGGGGGAAGCTCCTGCATTGAGCATCTGCCCCCGGTAATCAGTGCGTGTCATAGAAACTGGTCGTTCCAGTTGTTCAGTTTTAAAGGTCGCTTAGGCTTTTATACATATAGATTAGAATTCTTTAGTCAGTCAAATGTGACTGCATTTAAACATGAGAGTATTTTAAAAAGATAATTTTGAGCATGCCATGATTCTATAGGACTTGGGGAAGTTCTACTGCTGCCCACTGCTCAGTATGGAGTGGAGAAAACCCAGTGGTAAGGGGAGGATCTCCTCTGGTGTAACTCTTTTTACTGTTGTTTTTTGTATTCTTGCCCAATTGTGCTTCATTGTGTTTGTGGATCCTGAACTTGGGCAGGAGTCAGCAAAACTATTACCCTCAGGTCAAACCCACCCTGCTACCTGTTTTTATAAACAAAGATTTATTGGAGCAAGGCCCTGTTATTTACATATCCATGACTGCTTTTAGTATGCAATGACAGAGTTGATTAATTGCTACAGAGTGCATAACTCACAAAACCTAAACTCAAGACTAGGACTAAGGTGAGGAAAGAGAGGCGCCTAGGATGTAATACCAAGGAAGTGCTCCTTTGTAAAGCTCACTAGCCTCACTTTATTTTACACTCTGCCTGAAACATTTACTATGTGGCTAACAACAGAAATTGATTTCCTGGTTTAGAGTTTCTCTGAAATTGTTTGTGTTTCTGGAATAGTCTTCTCCTGCACATGATATGGATCATGGTTCTCTACTTTGGGCTCTCCCTGTCAATCTGATCATACCTTTCTATTTTGTGATTCATTATTTTTTAAATTATTTTTTTCTAGGTATTTTGGATAGGAGGAGAGGTAGATCTATTTTATAGAGAAATATAATGAAAATTCAGTCTGAAATATAGCATCTACTTATATAAAAACCCTCGGTGATGTTCATCACGACCACCAGAACTGTGACCAAGTGGAAGGAAGTCAGTACTGCAGGGGTTGTCTTGGCAACGGCTGCATCTTCCCCTGAGCTGTTTCCCGTAAGGGCGGGGTTTGAGGCAGGAACCTGCCCTGGGAGCGTGGAGGCATCTCTTTATAAAGTGTGCTGCGCCAGCACAGCCAAGGGTGAACCTGAATGGGGGCGGCGGAAAGGCTTAGAAAAGACAAGAGAATGAAAGCCAGGTCTCAGTGGGACGCTGCTTCTCTGAGAGACAGCAACCATGCCCACAGCCATGCCTTTATTTTATAGCAAAAGCTACGAGGCAAAGTAAGGGCGTGACCAAAATGTTTACAACATTCTCCTGGGTTTCAATCCTACTCAACTACATGCACCTGAACTCTATCAAGCCTACATCACTCAGGCACGTGGGGCCACATGTTTGGACCATAGGTTCAAGCTTACAACTACAGCTGTTGGCTATAATTGTGCTGGGAGGGCCCTGCCCTCCAATCTGGGAATTGCATGTGGCAATGAGAGGACTGTGCCCTCTCATCAGTCCAAGGCTTGAACCTGTCCAAAACACTGTAGTGGCTCCCCACAATAAAGTGTTAATTCTGTTTCTTTGTTACTAATGTTGTGGTCCCACCCCATAACAAAGAAACAATTTCCAGAGGACAAGGCCCAGGAATCAGGATTTTTAAAAGATTCCCAGGTGATTCTAATGTGCAGCCAAGGTTGAGAACCACTGCTATAGATAATATTAACACATTGTTTGCGGGTAGTTTTTATTGCGCGCTAACAGGTGGCGCGGGCCATTTTTGCTAATTTTTTGCGCAAATGTCAATGTTCAGTAAAATTACGATAACTTTAGTTTACGTATTTATATGTTACCCGCATTCTACCACTAGTCTATAAAAAACGTATTAATACGTGTCCCGTGCTCTACTACCAGTCAACGTAAAACGTATAAGTAAAACGTATAAATACGTTTCCCGCATACAGTGTGTTAAAAATATATCTAAATGTGCAATTCTTTGTCCAAAAAATGAGCATGTTCAAAAATTAAATGAAGA